GCTCCTGTGGCTGTGGCTCCTGTGGCTCCTGTGGCTGTGGCAAGGGGTGTTGCCAGCAGAAGTGCTGCTGCCAGCAGAAGTGTGGCTGCAAGCAGCAGTGCTGCTGCTAGGCGGACGCCGGCCCTGCCCGGGAGCTTGGGCGGGGACGCCCTCCTGCCGGTAAGACTTTGCATTCCTTGTTCTTTCCACCACTCTCACCCTAACCTGTCACCAGCTCATCCTCTTGTTCTTCAGTATCTCAAACTTTGTCCTTCTGAGCTCTTCCGTTGCCCATACTCTGCATGAATTTGTCCAAACCACGCAACAGACACACAAACCCAGCCAAAGAACATGACGAGATCACTGGATAAATCCGACTAACCCAGGACCTCTATTAATTTATTCTTATTTAAAGTGTTCAATCTCTTATAGACATTCCGTCTTGAATTTGGCCAATTGGGTGTCTACTGCCTCTCTGCAGCCTTTTCTACTGCTTTTGCCTGTATTTGCTTTCAGAAATTTCCTAATAAAGTGATTTGATGCACAAAAAAAGTCTCTTCACGAGTTGTCTTTATCACTTGCTTTGTTAACTCTTCTGTCCCCTGCTGTGGGAATCAAATTCTGTTTTTCACTCTGCAGTCTCCTGTTGCTGGCCAGGGGACCAGACCTGGCATCTACAGACATTTACTAGAGATAACATGGCCCGAAATGATGTTCATGGTGTTCTCCAAATCTCCTCCAAATTTCCCACGGTGGGATGAGGATGGTGGGATTCAGGGTGGTGGTTGTGTTTTGGTTTCTTGCAACTTATGTAGTAAATGAAAACTAGACCCAAAAGGCAGGAAGACCCTCTACCTGGTAGCATCCAGTGGTTTCTAAAAACAGCTGGAAGACTTCTGCTGGGGCAGGGAGCTTGGGTGATGTGGGCTTCTGCATGGCTGTCACCCTTGCTGGGGCCCCACAGGAGTGGACACCTGCTACCCGCCACCTGCTGACTCTGGGCTGACTCAGCAGGCAGGAGGGGGAGCCTGTCTTGATGTGGGCCCCAGACCTAGTTTCCAACCCACTTCCACTAGCACTGCAATGGAGGGGCTGGGGTAGGTGATGAGTCCCCTGGACCCTCATCTAGGCTCAGGAATGCTTCTTCTACTCCCCATGACAGACCAAGGATGTGAGAGTATCAGACCCATTTCATAGCCAAAGAGACCAAGGCTGAGACTGGAGCAGTTAAGAAACTTGCGCAAAGAATCATAACTATCAAGTCCTGCTTCAATCCCAGATTGCTTTACCTCAGACCTCTTTCTACTGATCCTTAGGCCTGATGACATTTCCTCTCTTCATTTCCTTATTCCCCTGTCGGTCTCCCCAAGTTTGTGCACTCACACACTGTCCCAAGGCCCTTCCCTGTCCTGTGGTCCTTGGACCCAGCTGCACGCTGCCCACTTGCTCTTCAGCCCCACTTCGTGAAGTCTCTGGGCTGCACACGGCCTGCTCCGTGCTTCCCTGGGGACAGCTGGTTGTGTCCTCATCACTGATGGGTTGTGAATACTTCTGACACCTAAATGGAAGGAAGGAGACCCTTGTCAGAGGTCTCCAAAGTCGTTCTGGACATTGCTGTATTCGTTCTGCACTCCTGAGCAGATTGCACAGGAGATGCTCCTGAGAGGCAGGAATGTGAGCTGTTACTGCTTATGCCCACTGAATCTACCAAGGGCCGTTTAGAGGTGGCGTGAGTGTAGCTTAAATTCCATACTCCTCTTAGTCCTCCCTACCTTGCTCTACCCCAGGGAAGTTATCTCTCTCCGAGCTCCAATCATACTTCTTTGTTTCTGTGGTATCGGGAAATGTATTTTCTTTTATTACTTATGAACAGGACATGATGGGAAGGTACTTTCCTCTTTATAAAATGATATACCCACGTGACTGTTTTCTGCTTGGTTCCATTTACACATCTCTCCATTCAGGCTCCAGCATGAAGCTCGACATGTTGTGCGCGCTCTGTACCAAATGCCGGGGATGGGGTATGACAAGTGGTGCTTCCTGGCCTTGCAGGAGTAAGGAGTAATCACTACTATGTAAGTTAGTAAGTGCTGTGGCTGGGGTCTGACAGCATCCTGGGGTGTGGCTTTGTGCAGGACGAGGGGATCAGAGAAGGCTTTGTGGAGGTGACTCTTGAACCAGGTCATGAAAAATGAAGGCAACTGTTGGGATAATGGTGTCAGGAGATGTCGGGGTGAGCTGCGTGACTCTTAATCCTGATGTGTCAACTTTGCTGGATTCAGAGGTGCGTAACAGATTAGCAGAGCCTGCTCCTGAGTACGTCTGGGTGGGTCATGGAGGCCTGACTTTGGTGATTACGTATGGCCCCTGTTCCCCTCCAGTCCAGCACAGTTCCCCTGCTGTGCTTCCTGGCTGTTTTGAATCAAGCATCTTTGCTCTCCACATAGGTGTTCCTGCCTTGGAGCAGCCAAGCCTTGACTTAATTCCTTGAAACTGTGAGTCGAAGTAAACCTCTCCTCCTTTAAGTTATAAGAGTTGGGTATTATGTCCCAGCAATGGGAAAGCTGACTCTTAGAAGCCATTTCTGCCAGTGGGAGCTATGTGTGCCAAGACCTGAAGGGAGATAATTCCCAGCCCGAGAACAAACCCAATGTGGCCGGAGAGTTGAGAGTGAGGGTAGAAGGTGGTCGGAGATGAGGCTCAGGGGGTGAACAAAGTGCACGTCAGAAAACACCTTGCTCCAGTGTTTAGAAGTTCTAGGAGAATAACTTGTATTCTACAAGATGGGCGAATCTGTGAAGGATTTGAGGTGAGAGCAACACGCGTCATAGAAAATATCAATTTGGCAGCAGAGGAAGAGTGGATTGGAGAAAGGCGAGTCCTGGGGCAAAAAACTAGGTAAGAAAACACCGATGGGCTGGGGATTTAGCTCAGCAGTTCGGTGGCCAGCCTTGCAAGTGCAAGGAACCCCCCCCCGCAAAAAAAGAAAACACCGAAGTGGGTGTTAGGGGACTGACAATGGGATCCCGACCCAAGTGTGATGGAGAAATTTGAGAAATATATAAAGGCAGTGCAGGAGCTAAGTGCTACCTACACCAGCGGATTCAAGGAGAATTTAAGAATGATGCTTCTGGCTTGGATAGGTTGTGTGTGATCCAATCCAGACAGGTGGGGCAACAGGACAAATGAATCCCTCAGTCACCCAATGAGATGGTATTGATGACAGTAGCAGCGACATAGCCAGCAAGCTTCGTGTCACTCGTCCTGAGAGGGGACATGGCTTGCAAGTGTCCTCATTAACCCTAAGGGGTGGATATCACCCTACCTGTTTCCTAAAGGAAATGGAGGTTGAATGGTGGAGTCCATCTTCAAATCCAGTCTCTTTGACACCACAGCCGCAGTCTTCTTTGAAACCTGTGAGTCTGTAGGGGAGGCATGGGAGTGGGAGCAATGCCTCATGATCTTTATAACCTTTCAGGATCTGGCCTGATCTCACATGGGGGCCCCTGGAACGCATTTCTTGGAGTGAATATGATGAAAATCTGTGAGGAATGGGAATGCCAGTGACCCATATCTGTCCCTCCTGTTGGTCTTCTCTAGCAGGAGTGGGGTGGCACATTGCAGAATGTCAGCACCATTGAACTGCCTGGTTAGCACCAACCTGACAAACTCTTGTGAAGGAAGGGACCAGGCTGAGAAAGGCAAGAGTCAGGCAAGAGAAGGGTGCTCATCCTGTCCTATACCATGTAGATATTTTGTTCATTGTGGATATTTTTTTTGTGCTCGATTTGATTTTTAAAAATACTATTTGATTATTTTACTGACCTTTTGATGCCACCTTAAATTTTGCAGCCTGGGAAAATGCCTTTATCACTTCCCTTTGGTACCAGTCCTGGGAAAAACCATTATACAGACTCAAAAACTTTCCACCCACTCTACCACCATTATTTCCATGCAGCTTTAAATAAATGTTTCACCTGGAATGATGTGCAGTTGTGGGAGAGGATGACCACTTCAAAGCAATTATCCTCAGCCTGGAACTAGGCATCAGTTACAAAAGAGCTCGGAGATTAATGACAGTGATTAGGAGACCAAAATAGATTCCACTTCAGAAAGAAGTCTGCAAAAGCTCAATTGAGACAGGAGAGGTAATAAAAGCACCAAAGTCTAGTTGTCCCACAGCTCACCACAGTACACAGGGCAAAAGCCGGTTGCATTAAAAAAAAAATCCCCCTTTAAAATTTTTTAAATTTATACTTTAACTGATGCATCAAAACATAAAAACTATATGAATTAACAAGTACCATGTTGTTTTGACACATGTACGCAGTGTGATCAAAACATACGGTGAATATTTAAATTGCAAAAAGTTTATTACAGCAAAAGTCACTGCCATGAATCTCAAAATATTCTCCCTTACTTCAAGTGCACTTCTCCCAGCATTCCTGCCACTTTCTGAAGCAGCTCTGGAAGCCCTCTTTTGCAAGCGTCTTTAGTTACGCTGTTGTGGCTGCCTCAACATTCTGAATCAATTGAAAAATGTTGATCTGCCACGGTCAGTTTGACTTTGGGGAAGAGCCAAAAGTTATATGCTGCCAGGAGCAGTGAGTAAGGAAGGCGAGGGCAAACCATAATGTTTCTATGGGCCTGCCCGTCTGTTCTATACCACTCGACAGCAACATTCACCATATTTTTAATCATACCTTGTATGTGTGATAGTCACGAAAGAGGACTTCTAGAACTGCTTCAGAAAGTGGCAAGAACAATGGGCTCAATATGTTTGAAGTGAGGGAGAGTATTTTGGGAGGGATTAATGGCAATGTGTCTTCGCCACAGAGAAATGATATTTTAAAAATTTAAACAATACCTGGGAATTTTGATCACACCTCTTATATGTTGCATAACATTTAAAATAGGTTTAGACTTGTGAAAACTTTCAAGATCTTTTATCCTGACTTTCTGAAATGTACATTTCCTTGTAGTTATCTATAGTCATTCTACAGTTCAATAGCATTATCAAAGAAAAGCAACAGTTAGATGCCAACCCCTGAAACTAAGCGTTAACTGTATGTGCACTGGCATGTCCAAGGGTCTCTTCTTTCTTTGTCCAGGGGAGTGCTAACCTTCTCTTGTTCATACAATACAGCTAAACACATTTTTTTCCTATACCGGGGATTGAACTCAGGACCTTGTGCTTGCAAGGTGGGCATAGCACCACTGAGCTAAGTTCCCCTCCCAGCAAGATGCATTTTTTGATCAGACATTCTCTATGATCTAGACCTCTTGGGTAAACATTTCTAGTTTTTCAGGTTATGCCGTCCATTGTCGCTTCTCAGTACAGCCATTCTGACTTGAAGTAGCCATACAACACTTCAGTGCAGCCATGTTCCAATAAGATATTTACAGAAACAACTAGTGGGCTAAAGTTGGATTGTTGAGCCTGATCTAGGAGCTAAAGGCAAGAAATGCAACGTTTCACTGGGTTCAGAAGGGCTGGCGCTGAGGGAAGGCTTCCTGGGCTTGTTTTCCAATCTTACAATTTTTTTGTGATCTTAGACAATTAGTTTTCTAGTATCGTACTTTTTCTTTATCTGTAGAATGGGAGTAGTGTGTGTGTGTGCACGCATGTGTGTTACTAGGGTTCAAAACTAGAGCCTCACACATGCTAGGTAAGTCCTCTACTACTGGGCTATATTGCCATCCCTAAGTGGGAGTTATTAACACTGTATTCTTTTTTTTTTTGGTACTGGGGATCGAACTAGGGTCCTTGTGCTTGCAAGGCAGGCGGTGGAACCACTGAGCTAAATCCCTGGCCCCAACACTATATTATTATATTAATTATATTATTTATTAATCTGAGGGAAGGCTTCCTGGGCTTGTTTTCCAATCTTACAATTTTTTTGTGATCTTAGACAATTAGTTTTCTAGTATCGTACTTTTTCTTTATCTGTAGAATGGGAGTAGTGTGTGTGTGTGCACGCATGTGTGTTACTAGGGTTCAAAACTAGAGCCTCACACATGCTAGGTAAGTCCTCTACTACTGGGCTATATTGCCATCCCTAAGTGGGAGTTATTAACACTGTATTCTTTTTTTTTTTGGTACTGGGGATCGAACTAGGGTCCTTGTGCTTGCAAGGCAGGCGGTGGAACCACTGAGCTAAATCCCTGGCCCCAACACTATATTATTATATTAATTATATTATATTTATTAATTATATTAATACTATATGCTATTTGCAGGACAAGCTTAAGTGTTACATGTAAAATTTGTAGACTTCTGCATGGAACATTATCAGGGCTAAACAATTTTGACACAGAGAAACAGAAAGGGTTTAAGCATTATGGAGAAAGTACACATAATACAGATGTCACTTTCCTGGCAGTAAGGGGCACCTGTTCTCTCTGCTCCTAAGTACTGGAGACCTTGATCTTGGCAGGACCCCACGTGGGGCCTAGGAGCTCTTGTAGGGTGGGGACTGTCTTCTTGTTCCTCAGAGTGCAGCTCAGATCTCATCTCCCTCCAGAGATGACTCACTGACTCATTGCCCTCTCTGATGACCCGTGGCTCCCCACAGAAACCCCTTTGACACTGGGGTATGAGCATTCAGTTTTCCTGAAGCTCGTGAGAGGACTGAAGTACAAAAGCAAACACCCTGTCTTAGCCACTTTCTTTGGTCACGCCCCACAGTCCCATCCTAGCCCAATGCTCAGCGCAGCATTTGGCAGAGAGCTGTGCAACATGGTTGGTTGTCCTGTCAGCTGAGAATCAAGAAACAAAATTTAGCTTGTGTTTCTGTTGCCCACTGTGCTTTCTTTGGAGGATTATCCTAATTTTATTCAGTAGTGCAATGTAGTATGAACAATAATTTAATTAATGTGTTTCAAAATTGTGAACGAGAATGAAATTCCTTACCTATGGCCATCTAACTGGTCTGACTCTGGGATTTCATCTTTATTTTACAAGCTTTTTTCACACACATCTTCCTTCCTGAACTATCATTTTTTTTTTGCATGCTATATAATACACTTGCAAAAGAAACATTAAGGTCTCCAAGTCCTGCATTTCATAACTTGTCACAACTTTTATTTCCACTTTGAGTTTCTAGTAAGTCTGTTGAATAAATTTTCTACTGTAGGAAAATTGCTTTCCTATCTTTTTCTGTTTTTCTATACAGTATGTAACCTACCTTGAAATACTAATACCTAACATTTATTGATATCCCAAGCTCTATTCTGTCCTATGACTTAGGTATTATTATTTCTATCAGAGAATTAAGGTAAAGAAAGAACAGGTCAGGAGACTTCTGGGAAGGTGGTGGAGTGGTAAACAATAGAGAAAGCACCTCTCTGAGATTTGATGTCTAGACCTTGGAATATAGCAACATGAGAAAGAAAAGAAGGAGGGAGGTGGGTCCATGGGACCCAGCAAGGATCTGAAGTGAGAGTTGAGGCCCATGGGGAGAATGAAGAGAGTGACTTCAATGAAGAAGAAGGAGGTGACAGGAAGCACTTTCTCCTTGAGCCCTTGCCAGAGCCTACAATATTGATTATGCCCCAAACATGCTGTAAGCATTGGGGGCTGCAAAGAGTGAAATCCCTCAATTGGCTTACTTTAAGAAGCGAGTCTGACTGAAGCTATGTGACTCACAGAAGTATCTCCTGAGCCCTGCAGTAGCACACAGCTTAACATGACCTCCCGGCTGATGGCCACAGCCAAGACCAGAGCAATGGCCTGTGAAGCTGTGGGGCTGATACAAGATAACATCTATAGCTGGGGTCAGAGGAACTGCACCCAAATTCCATTCCCACAATTAGTGCCTTCATAGCTTGAAGGACAATGCTCCAACTACAACCATATATTTTGTCTATTCTGACCCTAATTTGAAAATGCTTTGACTTCTCTTTAAAGCCTCACCTGCATTAATTTCCATGCTAATTTCATGTACCCCACATCTATACATGTATTGCACCTTTAATGGGAGGGGTGGCTCAACCCTGTTGATACAGTGACTAGTAGTGACCCCGGAGGCCTCCACAGAGAAACACACTAATGGAACAGACCAGTGGATGTAGTGGACTGCAGTGGCTGGTGAGTTATTCAGGTTCAGACGTTCGCTCAGGAGAGGCCAATTGGTTGGTAGCTATCTTCAAGAAGGGCCAAGGAGAGTTAGCTCCTTGGATAAGAGCTTGGAATTCAGATTAGCTTCTGGCTCCATCTAGTAGTTCCCAGTGTCAGGGTGAGTTGGAGTTCAAGTTGGTGGGAGATCAAGCAGCAGAGTTCAAGCTGGCAGGAGGAACATGGAGTGTTGCAGGCTGAACAAATCAGATTCCAGCCTCATAGCTAGAAACTGGCTAAAGGTGCAGGCTTGCTGAGATTATCCACTATCTCACCATAAGTCTATGGATGGCTTCCTGGGATTAATTAATACAGATGTGGATTCTGTCTGCCCAGTTTGTTCTACCAGTAACAGCAGAGACATGACTTGAAGTGGACACCTTTAAAATTTGTTTTTTTCATTTCTGATTTTTGTTTTGTTTTCCTTTTTCTTGCTTGTTTGTTCATGGTTGTTTGTTCTATATGAATGTGAACATTGTTTCTAGATTTTTGTTGTTGTTCTGTTCTTGTTTTTATTTCTTCCTTCTCTCTTTCCCTCTTGTCTTCTTCCCTAGTTTCCCAAGGTTTGCATAATGTTGCTCTGTCCTCCAGCCTTGCTTCTAATCTTTTCCTCTTCTTCTATTTCAATTTTCCCCCAACCCATTTTAAATTTTCTCCCTTGAGTGGAAAATCACCATATTTACTATATACAATTTTCTTGTTTGTTTTAGATTTTGCTATAGAACCACAAATATAGTTCATATAGCTAAAGGTGACAAATTAATAGTTACCACAGTCTGTCATTTTTAAGGGTGTGTTTGATGCTATTCTTATTGCTGATTGTAATACTTAAGCCAAGGTGACATAATTGTTCTAATCAGTTGTTCTTCCTGGTGTGCCAAGACTGAGATTGTCTAAGGGTCATAAACAACACTATAAGCCAGTGCCAAAGAACCAGGCGCTGGAACAAAAAGGTTGCAACTTCTCACCCCCACATCCCAACAAATTGAAGATTTTACATACATCTTGCAACAGACTTAAAACCCAAAACCCAGCTACACCTGGAAGACATCTCTGAGAATTCCTCATTTCCTAAATGTTCTAAATACTCCCAATAAAGTTACCTGACATAAGATTTACAAGCATCAACCCAGGAATTAATCTTAAAAAGAAAACAGAAAATGAGAAGACGCATAAATAAGATACAACCCCAGACTTGCAGCTCACCAAAGGCAAACCTAGGTGGCAATGAGATGGAACAATTCAAAAGCCACCCACCTGGACTCTCTGAAGTGGTACCAGCAGAAGCAACAAAGTAGATGAATGAGGCTCTAGAAAAAAGTCAAATCAGAAATAATTTATCAGATAACTATGGAGATGGTGACCATAATAAAGGACATGGTTAGTGACTCTAGAGCAGATGTACATTAAAAAAAAAAAAGAGTTTAGGAAAATAATGGAAACCATGAATGCCCAAGGTACAAAAGAAATGGAATCCATGAAACAGATTTAAACAGATATCCAGGAGATTAAAAATTCCATTGAAAGTATTTGCATAAGAATGAACTAATGTGAGGACCAAATATCAGATGTAGAAGACAGGATTGCTGTTGGTGATCATGAAAAGAAAAATCTCTTACAAATAGCAAGGGGCCATGAAAAATTAGTCCAACAGCTAAAAGATGATCCAAAGAAGAATAACATAAGATTGACCAGAGTAAATGAAAAAGCAGGAGGTAGCACAAATGACATAAAATACCTTTTCACAGAAGTAAGGCAGAAAACTTCCCAAGTAGGAAAAAATAATTTGACATACAGATAACAGGTAAATAGAACTCCATTTAGCCATGATCAAAACAAATCTACACGAAGGAATATAATAGTCAAGATTTCAGAAATTCAACACAAAAACAGAATATTAAAAGCTGTCAGAGAAAAGAAACAAATCATCTATCCAAGAAATCCCATCAGAATCATAGCGGACTTAACACAAACCCTCCAGTCAAGGAGAGTTTGGAGCGGATCATTTCAAGCCATAAAAGAAAACAA